CGTTCCTTAAATTGAAAAATGCTTTAAAAAATAAATTTAACAATTTGTCGACGTGTAAGTTAGCAAATACACGTGTTGTCGCGGACGGGCCCACCGTTAAAGCATTTAACGGCCGAAACAAATACGGAAAATCACCGATATCGATAAACCCCCCGCTTTTATCTCCGCCGCCAAACTTATCTGCCCCGTAATTATATACAAATATGTAATAATAACATATTTGTATATAATTATCCACGCCGTTTTATGTACGGAAGAGAATAATTATAACGATATCGCGAGTTAAGAGTAAAAATAACGAACCGAGTACGACGAACGACCGTACCATTTACCTACTTTCGTCCCCACATGATATGGGTATTAACAACCAGACGAAAATAATTTCGTATCTTTGGAAATAAGCGAATGACGAAGATATATTTTCTGTAAAAACACACGCACACAAATCTTTTTATTTCGTAACATAGGTTACATTGCAGATTCTGCAGTAGCATAATCCGCTTACAATTACTTATAAAAATTATAAATGTAATAATAACAATACAATAGTCGGACAGTTATTCGTATTTTACAATTATTAACATAAGTATACACATACATACTTATATATTATTTATGTTGAGCAAAACAAAAAAATAGACAACCGACAATTATAGTGGTTTACATAGTATTACGAAGGCAAACATAAAAAAATAGGAAAGAACAAATAAGTTAATAAAAACAGAAATAATGCTGGTGGTTATGTACTGTACATAGTAATGGAATTACAATTACAGATACAGTTAACATAATTCATAAAACATCCGATAACATAAGATGTACGATGATGTATATTTTCTTATACTTACCTGAAGAGTTTCAGCACTGTGGTCTGTTGAAATCTATTAGGTAGATCCCTGCTGGGCATGTCAAGAGTTGATTCCAACATTGACAGCTCTAAAGCACCTGATAATATAGTGTCCTGTATGGGCAAAAGAACCTCAACAGAGATGCAGCGCAACACACTCCGGTAACATTTCGTTTTCAAACGTAATCAATACCTTACTTGTTTCACAGTTCGTGCCAAACTCTTCCTAGTGGCTACGATAGTTGCACATACAGTGTTAAAGGTCGATCACAAAACAACTTGCACAGACATGTTTCTCCGCAAGAGTGAAGAAGGATACTTCCAAGCAGGCGTTCTAACAGTCAAAGTATTGTCATATACTATAAAAGATTGATAAGATACCCTTGTAATTTATAAGTGTCAGTTGCAACACAACATATTATACCAGTTATTGCAGTAGTCAATGAAAGATTACTATCCTTGCATATAATTAAGTTCAGTGGCGGCCTTAGGGGGTGGCGAGCAGGGCAATCGCCCGGGGCCTCGCTCTTGGAGGGGCCTCGCGCAACAACCAAGTAGAAAAAAGTTGATATTTAAAACTTTTTATTTTATCCTTGGCTATTAGTTATAACAATAAAATAAATTTAATTTGTAGTACAGTATATATTAATATTAATAAGTGCCTACTATTTCAATTCACATACTTTGCAAAGGGCCTTGCAAAGTTCTGCCGCCCAGGGCCTCGCAAAGATCTGCCGCCCAGAGCCTCGCAATGGATAAGGCCGCCGCTGCCTGGGGTACGCGTACCACTAATTGGGAACCACTGCAATATTCCAAGCAGAAAATATTTATCTGAAAATATCATCCCTGATATATTTCAAAAAGTTCAGTCAAAAATTCAGAAAGCTATTAATGATGCAAATATACAGTGGAACCTCGGTATACACCAGCGCCACGCTACGGAGAGTTTAGGCGAGTAAGTTGAGTTTACTATCGTCTGTACAGTATGTAAATTAGGTACCGTAAGTCTAATACAGCACTGTAATTTTATACATTTCTTGTGAAAAAAAACATTTCTTATTTAACGGCCATAAAAATTATTTATATTAATGATGTCTCCAAAGTTCAACGAAGTCTACGCAGAAAAATAACTTATCAGAAATCGCGGCCGCCGTTTGGTGCGCCGCTCCGCGACGAAAACAAGCTTAAGCAATGGCGACGTCGAACGGTGCACACTCGATAAGTAATCCTACAATTTTTCGTTTATAGCATAGTTTATACGGATTATTCCCAAAAAAATATACGCATTTTGGAAATGTTGAGTCGAATTAGTCTAGGAATCGATTAATTTTATGGAAGAAAACCTTCCAAACAGCCATAGTCGGTAAACTTCACACGGTGTCGGGCTGTGATTGGCAAGGACTCGTACAAAATGGATTCATAAAGAACGGAACGTATCTACCGTGTTATAGGGGGTCGACTGTATAGAAATGTTTCGTAATTGTTTATTAATTCATTGTGATTGCATGGCCACGCAACACCACGCTCAGACAAAATTATTTTAATTTCTTGTCTTTCCTTTTCTAAACATACACAGTCAAAAATATAATGGTCACTGCCATCAGTAATGTTACAGTGAGTGCATAAAGTTGTATTATGACTGACAAATCTTGATAGATATGTAGCAAATTTTCCATGGTCAGTAAAAACTGTGGTCAGATTTCAACCAGTGGTATTTATAAATATCATTAATATTAGGAAAGAATTTATAGATTATTATCTCCCTATTGCTGTTCCACTTGTTTTGCCATATATCCAGGACTTCTCTCCACGAAAGTCTTTTAACAGTGGTCAAGCTGACTTTGTTATAAGAAATTTCTAGCTGCCAATTATTGGCAGTTGCTTTAGCTAATGCGTCAGCTCTTTCATTCTCGGCCAAACCTTGGTGTGCTTTAGTCCACATCAGGCTATATTTGTTACTGGAAGTCATTATCAGATTCTTAATGCGTATAGACAAAGGATGTAATAGTGAACTGTTAATGACGGCTAGGGAAGAAGCACTGTCACTGATAATCGTAATATCACTTGATTGGTACTGAGTATTAGCCCGTGTCAGGACCATAAGAATGACAAATAACTCTGCCTGGAAAATTGTTATATTTACACCGAGTCTAAATGTGCTATGATGTATTTCATTATTATTCAATAAGACAACGAACGAGCAGCTAACGTTACTGCCATTTTTCGATCCATCAGTAAATATCAAAATGCCATTATAATCTGTATCGTAAATAATGTTTACAAGAGGTATACTCGGACTGGGTGACAAGCTAAAGGGGGTTTCGGATTCAAACTCCGAAGTTAAAATTGTATCTCTGGTTAGATGGATGTTATCCCCCCCATTTTAGATAGCTAAGTTGACTGTAGAACTGAATACGCAGTTCTATAGGTGGCTTTCGTGCTAACACTTGTAGGGCAGAGTTGGAGGTAGTTCTATAAGCTTTGGTGAGAGGAATCAAAGCTTTCCTCTGAGCTGATATTAATTTACGTTTAGGATGGGTCTTATTTGATGCCCATCCCCAACACCCACGAGCATAAGTGATAATTGGTATGAATAATTGATTGTAAATTGTTTCAACGGCATCAAAACTAAATCCCCACGTGCCAGCAGCAACCTTAGCGAAGGCCTGGAAAATTAATCCAGTTCGCTTTGTTACATGATCAATATGAGGCTCCCAGGAGAGCCGATAATTCAGGATAATTTCCAGATATGTCAGTGTTTTTTTGATAGTTATTGACTTTCCACCCATTTTAACAGTGGGGACACGTAAATAAAGATTAGGGCGATCAGGAAGGTTAAAGATTATGCCTTTTGTCTCGTTAGAGTTGAATTGGAGTTTGTTTTCACGCCCCCGGTCAAGTATTTTATTCAATATTTTAGTGCCCTTTCTTTCTAAATCAGCTCTACTATTACCTCGAATGAGTATAAACACATCATCAACATACGCTGTAATACCGTAATGTCCAAAGTCCTGTTCGAGGAACGAGGCAAATGTTATGATCCAGAGTAGTGGACCTAACACTGAGCCCTGTGGGCACCCACGAACAATTTTTCTAGAAACCATATATTGTCCGTGCTGCATTATCGCTGTCCGGCCAGTTAAGTAATTGTGGAGGAGTTTGTATAGATTTGAGGGGCAATTCTTACGATGTAATTGTAAGAGAGTTAATGGCCACCAACAACTATCGAATGCTTTACTAATGTCAATGCTAACAGCCAAGACAAATCTGTTGTTATTGTTCAGCAAGAGTTGTATTTTGTTGATAGCATGATAAATAGCACCATTGTTTGCGGAATCCAAATTGTGAATTAGGTAGTAGTTGATGGTATTCTACATGCCAATTTAATCTATTAGCAATTAGTCGTTCTAGTACTTTGCCCAGCAGTGAAAGAGATATTGGGCGAAATAATTCAGAAGTCCCTGGTTTCGGAATTGGCACAATTTTTGCCTTTTTCCACGATTATGGGAATGTTCCCGAATAAAGACGAGAGTTAAACAAGTTTATAAGATGGTTAGGGATCAGTTCCCACAATTTCTTTACAATAGTAGCTGTTATACAATCGCCCCCAGGCGCCTTTCCAGTTTTTAAAAAGGAAATAGCATTGTTTATTTTCATTTTCTGTAAACAGACAGAAAGACAATAAAAACGACGAACCGCTTTCGCCTTTATAACGGGAAGAAAGTCTCCCGAAAAGGTAAAGCGGAATTACGCGCCGACTTAATTCGCACGGGTTTAGCCAGCGGCGGATGAAAAATAATAAAATTTTGTCTGTCGTCGGAGTTAAAGCGACCGCACGACCATTAAACCGACATTTTTCGAGTGTAGTCTGTTCCGAAATGTTACAGCCACACTGAAGTAATTACACTAATAACCTATGTATGTATGTCTCTTTAATCCGAAATTAAGTTCGGTAGACTATCATTACAGCTATCGGGCTAGACACTTCTTTTATTGTTTCCACATACGCATTTCGGACTTATATAAATGCTAATTTCCTCTTCGGCGCAATATTAAAAATTGTCACACTTATACGGTGACAATTTTTAATATCGCACCGAAGCGGGGCTTAGAATTTATATAAGTTATATATAAATTTATATATTTACGGTTGAAAAATGCGGGAGGCGCCGCCATTTGCCAAAACTTCCGTCAACAAACGTAAAAAAAAGAAGCCGCAGTTTTCTCTCCCTCGGTAGACGAATGTTTTTCCGGCGGGAAATGAGATGGCGTCCGAAGTTAGGTTACGGGACTAGAGCGGAAAGAATGGGAACGAACGGTCGAGAAGGGGAAGGGGTGGCCGAGGAGGGGGAGAGGGGATCTAACCGGCGGACGGCGGCATTTTTATTTATCGAAAGAAGCGATTCGGGTTATCAGCCAACGGCAGCTATTTGCGCGGTCCCCAGTCAAGGTCGCCGACGACTTAACAATAGTTTCCTCCTTATTTATAGACTCGCTTTTAAAGTACGTACCTTTTGCTTTTGTCGCCGTGTCTTTCGTTTAATAGCGATGTAGATCGCCGGACGGAAATACTCCGCCCTCGCGCCCGTTAACTCGGACTTTTCTCCCGCTCCCACCCCTCGGCGCTTTTCCCCCGCCGCCGGCCACCGAAGACATTTTTAATTCGCCGCCGGCGGGGCAAACCCCGGACGAATAATTGCGAAGGGAAAGGGCGGCGGCGCTCGGTTTCGGAGAGCGCAGTGGGATCGGTCGACGTTTATATATAGGCTACTTACCGTTAGTCGAGGCGGTTGGGTCGGGCGCCGAGACGTAACGGAGGTAGAAGGGGACCGCTGGTAGTGGCACTCGATCCGTTTACCGAAATATTTGTTTATTTGGGGAAATAAATTATTATTAAGTGGACGGAAGAGAAGATGTTTTCCGGCGACGCGGCCTGCCTTCCACCCACCGACGAATAGAAGATGCGGCCCGCTTTTCCCTTCACCCACTCGCCCTTTCCGTTAGTCCGTCTTCGGCGGTCGAGTATCTTTTTACCGCCCTTCCGGATTTCCAAATCCCGCGGGTCCCGCCGGGGAAAAAGGAGGCCGGAAGCGTTTTTCGGCGCCGTTCGGGACGTTTTTTAAGTTGCGACGGGCGGTCGGCGGGTTCCTTCGGACTCTTCTTATCTGGGACGCTTTCGAAACCGTATCGAAAGTCGACGTCACAGATAAGACTTATAAATAAAGCGGAGAGGTCGACGGCTGTTGCCCACCGTCCTTCGCGCCGCGTGACGTCCGACCCGCTCGAATTCCGTCGGAGCGGGTTATCAGGTACGATTACTTTTACGGCTTTCTCCTCTCCGTCCTCGAAAAGCCTCTAACGACATCACCTTCCTTCGCCGGTGTTTCGGACCCGGACGTCGACCTCCTTTTAACTAAACGCTTTCCGCCCGGAAATTTCGCGGATTTAACTCTTCTCGTCGGACGTTTCTTCGCTTAGGTCGGGCGGAAACTGCCGTTACTCGTTCGGAAGTCCGACGGTCGGACGTCGTCTATACTTTACCAAAGCTAAATGCGCCGGACCGTCGCCTTCTACCGCCGTTTTTCCGGGGGAGGAGGTAACGTGGCTCGACGCCCTTCCTTTCCTTATTTCTTCCGGGAGCCTTTTTCCTTACGGACTTAACGCCGCGGCCATGGCCGATAAACGAAATTTTCACCTTTCTTGGTCTTTCGAGATTGGCTCGACCGGGTCTCGACGCGGCCGATTTTCTCAAAAACCCGGCTCGGCTGGTCCGGACCGACGTTGGCCCCGTCGAAATCCGCCACGAAAACGTCCGACCGGCGGTGAGATAATTCGGCAGTGGTGGGCCCGGACCCGTTCCGATTACCGGGGCCGCTTTCGACGTATTTGGCGGGGGAAATATCTTCTTATAACGACGGGGCCGAGACGGAAAGTTGTAAAATTGTTTTGCACGCCGAAGTCGACTACGCTACCCACGACCCCACTCGGCCCGGCCGGGAGTACTTCGGGACGCCTCTTCCCCCTAAATTCGTCGTTTTTACAAATTCTTTCGTGCCTAACTCTTTCTTAATTACGTTCGGGTTTAAGTTTAGCCAGCCGTTGTTTTTTTTTTATTACAAATTGCCGGCGGGTGACCCCACCGAAATTACACTCGGCGGTATCCCGAGATAGGCGAATTAATAGGCAAGGTTTCGGTGGAGTTAGGTAATCGAAACGTTAAGCTTTTCGATTACCGTTTTCTCAGAGTTTTAACCAAAGAACAAAAGTATAGTGTAGGAAGGCATTGGAGTTTAACGAACGTCGATTATTAATTAAAGTCGGCGAGCTATAACCGGGGCCGACCGGGCCTCTACCTTCTATTATAATCGACGTTCTTTTAAATATACCGTCGGAAACCGACCGTTATAAACTTGGAAAATGAAAGATTTCCCTAATACACAGAAAATAAAATAAGACGAACAGAAGACGCCGGTAGCAAATTTACCGACATTTTAAGTAGGTTAAAATCGGCGAAAAAGTCCGAAATTGAATTTGGCGGCCGGGCATCTCCCTGGCCCGTCTGGTGGCCACGACTTCCGACGCCGGCAGACGAAATTGCCCGTCGTTACGTAAGGAATGCGAAGTGAGCCAATGTAAATTTTTGGAAAGTTTTGACAATTTTCCAAATTGTGAAAGCCAATGACGAAAGCGTTTATCTAATTACTGCGCAACGTCCCACTCCCGGGCTTACTACCGGTCCTAATTCCGATGCCGCGCCGCTTCTTTACAAATCTCCTTTCTCCATTTTATGAATTCCAATTTTTTCCGGGATAAAATACTTCCGCGCATTCGACGGTCGATTTCGCTACCGTCCCAGGCTTTTCTCCGTCGGCGGAAAATGAAACGCTCGGGTGACGTTTCTTCCGGTCTGCGAGATTTTAATGTACGAAACGGAACAAAGTCGTCGGCTTTATACCTTAAAAGTAGGGCGCTACAGCCGAAATTTTCCCCTAAAACTGCCTAAGTTTCCGTATAAATCCCAGCCGGTCTGGGCGGCCATCCGGGCGGGGGTGTGCCGAAATCGCGCTCTACCGAACGGAAAATTCCCACCTTCCCGACCTCGACGTACGATCTAAAGTAAAGCTCGGTTTCTATCGGAACGATTTGCCGACGGATTCGTCCGACCCGTGACGTTAAAATAAAATAAACCGTCGTTTACGCTTTACAAATTAAATTTATTTCCAGAATTTCGTAAAAAACACAAGCAATTTTATATTTCTTCCATCATTTTATACCAAGAAATCCCATTGTATTTTGTAAAAGTATCGACCGGCCCGAGGTAAAAATCGGCTTAATTATTAACGCTTCTTCCTTGCGGTCGGAAAATTCTGCGTATTTAGCCACTCCCTCCAAACAACTTTTTTCCGAATTCTCTTTTAAAAGAGAATTCGGAAAAAAGTTCTTTTAAAATTTTTTTTAAAAAAGTTCTTTTAAAAGTTCTTTTAAAATACGGCATTTAAATAAAAAATTCACCGCCATTTTATACATTTATTATTTTCGGGTGGTAATTGACTAGCCCCCTACTCCGTACCTGGATACTGTCTTATTCGGTGTTAATAAACCTACGTTACCGCGTGGGCTTATTAACACCGAATAATAGAGTATCCGCGTATAAAAATTTGAATTCCGCTATATTGGCAAGGATGTACTGTATACAATACGGCGCGTTATTACGTCAAATGTTATCGCTAATTTTACTTTTATAATCGGTATTTAACGAGATTTAGTACAGCGTTCTAATTACGGCTCCGTCCGTGGGGATTTTACCACCGCGCTCGCGCCGCTACCCGGCTTACGCGGCCGGAAATCGCGTGCGCCCGAGCCGGTGGCGTAAGTTAGATCCGGCCGTAGTTTCTCTTACTTTATTTAAGGATCTTTAGTAATACGTATTTAGACGTAACGATAGTTAAATACGTTCTAAAGATTTTTCTTTTTGGAATAAGATTTTCGAAAATACTTTTTAATATTTAAAAGAAAAATAAGGAAATTATGAAATTACGGGTGTTTAAAAAATATATTAAAAAAAAAGATTTAAATGGGTTAAATATCGTATTGTACCGAGTCTAACAAATATTTGGAATAAAATAAAACAGGCAGTTTTTTGGAACGATGGAGGACGTATTCGGTCGAAAGTTAGAATAGGTCGTCCCTTCGGATCGCTCCCGTTGGGCCGGTAGTTTAGAATAATATTTAAAGAGATAAAAGTTATACAAATAAAGATAAAGCTGGCAACCCGCCTTTGAAGGTTATCTCTATTTACCGCCGCTCGGTTTCGTTTATTAAGAAACATTTATATCCACTCTTTTAGTAACCAACGATTTTAAATATCGTCCATTAAAAGTAATCCGTTCAAATTGAGGAAGAAAGTTACTGTACGTGTTACGATTTCTATTACGTAAATAATTATTGGTTAAAATATTTCTGTCGTAAATCGTCTTTAATATATTTCGTCATTCTCGTCCGTTAACGTCCATTATTCCTCGGGTAGGTCCTCCGTCTCGACTTTTTTCCTTCCAAATCATTATTTATCCGTCGTCATAAATCTAAACGTGAAAGGTCTTTTAAATTCGAAAAGAAAAGTATTTTTTCGCCTCGGTCGGAGCCAATTAATTAAACGTCTTTTGTTTAATTAATTGGCTCCGACCGAGATAGACGATAATTCCAATATTAAAAATTAGACGATAATTCCAATATTAAAAGACGATAATTCCAATATTAAAAATTAAACGATTATTTTCTTCTTAACTTTCTCTAATTTCTTTCCTTTCCGATAGATTTTCGAGCAAATGAATCGGTCGTGCGGCCTAACGATTTTCCAAAAACAAACGAAAAGATCTGTAGACAAGTAGGTAAGTGCTGTTAATTAATTTGGTGGACGATGTGTCTATTGTTAAGATTCGACGCCGAGACGGGGCGGACATTACCGCGGGCGAATATTCTTCACCGATAAATAAATAAAAATACGTGGATTATAAAACCCGCTTTTTGTATTTCTTGTTTTATTTTTCCGTTTTGTCAGAAATTATTAACAATTGTAAGCTACGGCCGGTAGTACACTCCCTTTAGCCCATCTGGCCCATTGCTAGTCACTTCCGCCGTTTCTTTCGGCCGGGAGAAAAATTCCCTCCGTTCTCGGCCTCTTTCGTGGCGGAAACCGATGAAATTAGAGTCGAAGATCTTCGATCCATCGTAATTCCTCGTTATAGCTTATACCTAAGCTGATCGAATCCGAAAGGACATTACCTCTACTTATATTTAAAATTTATTTAAAATATTGAAGATGCGCGTTGTCGTCGTCTTTCTTCATTTCTTACGTAAGATTGAAACATTCTTCGCACTCTCTTCTCCCATTAATAAAGTCTCGTTGCTTTCCCGACTGTTATATATATAACGGAGGGAAAGTACGGCTACGGGTCAAAAATCGCCCTCCCCAGAGTTTTACAGTTTTAGACTTAGGACACCTCGAAACGTGGAGAAATACAAAAAACTTCGGGTTTTTTTCTGTATGTATGAATGTTAGTGTGTGCGGGCTGTGAGATACGATTTCGTTTACACTGATTGGAATTTAATAACTCCCATACTTTTTGTCGAAAATTTCCGGGAGGTTTGCTTATTACAGTGTTCGATTGTATTAAATTTTTGTCATTAAAGTTGGCCGAGGTGGGGAAATAAAGGCGATCGGGTGTGTCTCCGGTAGGATCGGACTTAATGACGATTTTACCGATTATTAGCATTTACAATTTTTTTTTATAAAACCGGTCTCTACCCTCGAAATTAAGCTTTTTGCCAATTTATAATAATTAAAAATATAAGAAAACAACATGGCTAAACCCTATATACAGTACTATAAAGCTATAAATACAATCGACCCCTCCTATAACACGATACGTTCCGGTTTTTATGAAATCCATTTTCTATGAGTCCTTAAATACACGAGCCAATCACAGCCCGGCACGTATGCAGTTTACGGACTACGGCTGTTTGAAAGGTTTTCTTCCATAAAATTAATCGGTTCTAGACTAATTTGACTCGACATTTCCAAAATACGTATAATTTTTTGGGAATAATCCATATAGACTATGCTACAAAAAAAAAAATTGTAGGATTACTTACCGAGCGTGTACCGTTCGACGACGCCCTTGCTTAAGCTCGTTTTCGTCGCGGATCGGCGTATCGAATGGCGCTCGCGTGCTTTCTGATAAATTATTTTTCTGCGAAAACTTTGCTGAACTTTGGAGACCTCATTAATATAAATATAATTTTTATGGACGTTAAATAATAAAGGGTTTTTAGTGGGTCCGCCGCTCGTTTAAACTCAACGGTTTGTACAATATCCACTCTTGGTCTAGATTCGACCGATTCTGTCGCGACACGAGTCGGCGATGACGTTTTACCGAATTATACGAGTCTCTTTTAGCGTGTTTATACGAATACGGTCGCAATTTTTTCGCCGTCATACAGGAATCCGAACTATATGAACCCGTTTTATAGGGTGGTCTACTGTATAGTGTATACCAATCAATGCCGAATTCTATCGAGCTAGACACAGCTATATTAATCACTAAATAAATTATGCAATCGATTTGGCACTAGAGGGAGGCGTCGGGCGCCATCTCTTAATAACTTTAATAATTATAATTTTTAATTAATTTATTTAAATAATTTAGAACTACTGGAAGAAGAAATCGGCCCGGAGCTGGACTCGAATCCACAACTCCCGCTTACCCTGCAAATGCAACGCCAGTTACGCTACCCGGACCTCCGGTTCGATCTCCTCTTCCAGTACAACCATTGACGGTTATTATAACGTCGATTGCGCCCACGTCCCGTAAACATCTCCCAAGGTCCTCAACTGGCCGTCGCAAACCCCGGCAAGGCGTATCTATATATATAACCCATTCAACGGGTTTGGGGGTTATATATATTATATATATNGGTCCTTATTTATTTGTGGTTTTAGGCCCTTTACTGCTCAAAAAGAGCACAAAAAAGGCCCCATACACAGGACCTATGAGGGGTAAAGTCAGTCGTAAGCGTGGGCTCCCCTTTTCTAATAGCCAGAAAAAATACTGATAAAATTAATAAAATAGACTTTGCTACACTTATAAAAAAAAAAATGAAATTCTGGAGGCCCTTCATATCCGGGGCCCGATTATAATTATTTATTAATAAATTTTAACCGAAATTTTATTTATTTATTTATTTTTTCACTTCTTGGAAGGATGTAAAATTCAAATCTATCGATTTAAAAGGAAACGTGACGTTTTTCAAATCAACCAATTAAAGCCTAAATACATTTTAAAATAACCAATAGGCGAGCGGAATTTTAAATTTCGTCATACAACCGTTAAAAAAAAATTTAAATTCCCGATCGACTATTGGCTACTTTTAAGTCTATTGAATTTTTATAATTATCAATTAAAACACTTCCGTGTCATACTTTCTAAATATTGCAGCGTGGCCCAAAACTCGGTTAACCAAAGCAAATAATCTAAATCGGTGTTTTTGTTTTTTAGCTTATGTTTCTTACCTACAGCCGTAATCGAACACCGCACGGTTAACTGACTTTTGGGCACAGATTACTCGAGTTTACCGTTTTTATTTATTTATTTATTTCTATTCCCTTTAGTGTCGGAATTACATGCGAGACCGGATTCGTAATCAATTTTTCGCCCTTATCAAGACACGGTAGAACGTAAGTATAATTCATACTGTATAGTACTTATTTATTTTCCTGGTAGGGTGAACGCTCTACCTAAGTAATTACCTATGTAAATCCATCTTATTTAAAGTTTAAAAAAAAGGGGGGTGAAACATCTTTCCGGATTCATAATAGGCCAAATCTAACAGATGACATCAAGGGAAGCCGGCATAATTAGTTAAGTTTTATCTCCCCTCTTATCTAAACTAGCCATTCTACTGTAGAAAAAGCGCATAACTAACTTTCCCTCGCCGAAAAAGAAAAAAAAATATAGGGGAGGGGGGAAAAAATAAATAAATAAATAAATTACGCCCACGTAAGGGGTGGCCCAAAAGTCGGTTAACCGCCGACAACCGCTGGCAACTTCTAAAGTGTGTGTGTGTGTGTTTGGTATTCGAACTGGGAGGCACGTCGGTTTTTTGCGGCGGGTTAACAGACTTCTGGTCCACTCCGCGCGAACAGAAAATAAATGAAAATTAAATTAATCATTAGTGTATCATAATGCCGTCGCCAAGGGTGATTTTCGTTTATTACGCTCATTAGGGTCAAGTAGATGATTTCCTTTTATCATTTTCGTCGTACAGAGACTTCATTAACTTAATTAATTAATTAAAAATTATAATTATTAAAGTTATTAAGATATGGCGCCTAACGCCTCCCTCTAGCACAAAATCTGTTGCATAATTTATTTAGTAATATAGCCGTGTCTAGCCCGATAGAATTCGGCATTGTTGGCGTCTAAAAATATAAAATGTTTTTAAGATAAAATATCGTAACAGATGGCGCCACCAGAATTGCCGGGAAACTTAAGCAGCTCGTTGCTGGATTTTTTTGAAAGAGTTTTACTTTCTACGCTTTCGAAACACGCTTGTGGTTTTAGTTAAATGGCGCCATATTTTAAACTGCGGGTAACGAAAACGCTCTGGCCTTTATTATTCGTCGTTTTCAAACTTGAAAGTTTTATTTTTAACTTTTTCCATCCGTGGACACGGCGAAAGAACTTTTCGTCCGGTCCGTTCCGGGTTCGACCACTCCCGAAAAATTTCTGAAGATTTCCATTTTTAGGGATTCGATTCCGGGTCTTCCGGAACGGAGGTGACAAAGTTTGCCCCTCTCAGCGCCTAGTGGCCTGGACGGAACGTGCCCCGGCCCCGAACGTGGCGTTTTCTCCAAAAAGATACGTAAACCGCCCACCGAGGCGACGGAATTGATTGATAAACGTACGAGTTTTCTCCAGACTGACGCGTAAATTGTCAGTGTCGGACGTACCGTTTGAACAAAAATGGTTGATCCAAGGTCGATCCGGCTACCGAAGACTTGGCAAATGACTCGCACGTCTTCGGCGTAACGGCCGAAAGCGATCGGTGACTCCGAGATATCCCGTTATATTCTTTCGCACCTTAGAGTAGGGCACCCCCGATGGCCGTCTTCATTGCGGGAGTATTGTAAGCCCGCTTCAGTTAGCATTTTTTATTGAGGATTTTAAAACGCAGAGAACAGCCACGATTAATTTACGATATGTATAGTTAACACTTAACAAACTACGATACTAGAGGGTATTACGATAGAATTATACCTGGTAAGCTTCGGGTTCCGTCACGATCGGTGTTAATGTTTTCGTTTTCACTTTAGTATTTTCATGGAGTATGCCACCTCTTATATTTATTCTAATTTTATTCAACCCTAATTTACAAAAGTATAAAATTACAATTATATATTACATGTCTCAGTAACTGTTATAAAGAATTTTCAAAAGTTACTTATATATGTTGTAAAGTTTTAAATATTTTCTCTATTTATATAATTTCTCTTTTTGTTTATATTTCCCTATTTATTTAATTTATGAATTGGTGATAATTACTTTTCATTTTTACATTTTTCAACGCAAGGAATTTTACATTTTAAGTTGTTATTGTTGAAACAGTTACTTACATTATCGTCAAGTTTATACAGTAATATTTACTATTTTAATTTGAAAGTTTCTACAACGATGATTGTCTGGCAAAATTACTCGTTGGGCTGCAATTTGAAGAAATTGTAGACATAAATTTCCACTAACATCCGTCAGTATGTCTTTTCTTTATGTCTAGAACGGAATTAGATAGAAGAAAGACGAGACCAAATATGGAAACCTTGGGATCGGGAGGATTCGATTAACTATATACGAACGTCCGATGCAAACCGAAAGTCACGTTATTTCCATTCAAAAAAGTTTATCCCGAAAGGTATTAGAGAGGTGACCGGCACGACTCGATTGCTAACAGGAAAAGTATGACGATTTCAGGTAGAGAGCATATGTTTTAAATTAAAATTGTTCTTTTATGTTACTACTACTCTTATTATCTAATGCCCAACAATTTATACCTACGTCAAACCTTCGTTTCCATTTATTTAAATTAATTTATTTTATTTTTGTTAGTTCTACTATATTTAAAATTTACGTCTTGGACAGCGGCGTTGTAATTCGATCGTCGATTTTCTCGTCTTCGTTTTAAAATTCTCAATAAAAAATGCTAATCGAAGATGGGTTACAATTAAAAATAACCCGAAATGCATTTTAGAAAAGAAAAAGTCTTTAGTTGTGTATTAATTTCATAATAAACGACAGAAAATCAGAAGTTGTGAAATGGCTAAAGTTGGTTACAAATTGATTCGATAAACTTTTCATTAAAATATTAATTTGTATTTTATTCATTTACAAAATTATAAGAATATAATGTGAAAAGCTTTAAAATTAAACGCATTTTTTCCCTTTTCCTTTCGGAATCGCGGATTATTTTTAAATGTCATTATTGATATTTCTGGTTTCGGTGTTTAAGTTTTTGTTTAATGTCTGACGAGAAAAGGTTTTTCTCGAATAATGCAAACGGTAAAACTGAAGTAGTAAAGAGATAGTTTTTACGGCTTGTAATAAATCATTAGACTGTCACGATAAGGAGAAACGGTGAAAAATGTCATATTTCATTAAGAATTCATTATCGGACTGCGGAAAGTAATGGATTTATCTGTAGATAAATAGTTTCGCTATGGTAAACCTCCTCAGATATATTTAACTTGTTTCCGATAAGGATTACGATAATTATTATAAACAGATCCTTATTGGCGTATTTATCCCGTTTCGGGTTTCGTACGAGCTTTCCGCAACTTCGATTAAAATAAATAATTACAATATTGTGTTAAGTAACTTGCCGATTGCCGAAAGAAATATAATTAATTTGGTAATTAATCATCGGCATAATTTAGTATCCGAAGCTTCACCAATGGGAGTTGACGTTAGACTACCCGAAAATCTCTCGATATTAACATTAAATTTCGATGAATGTAATAGACGTTCGTTCGCTAATGCCAATGAATTAATAGCAGACATCTTTGTTTTTACTTCGTTTTTTTTCTTTGTCTAGACAAATCGATTATAAATGGCTTGTGACTGCAGACCCGTGGACTGGGTTCTAATTCCTTTGAAGATAGTCGTATTTCTCACTTTTGCCGGTAAGATCTAGTGCAATTTGCCCTTATCGTAATTAAAACTGTTTAAATCAAATAGAAAGAAATTTTTTAATCCCGATTTTAACTTTCTTCTAATTTTTTTTTTATTTCTTTTTCAGCCGTTTCCAGTCTTCTTCCTTTCTTGAATATTCACATGAAGTATCTCGGCTTCACCGTACACGAAACGGCGGTCATCTGCAGCGTTTTACCGCTGACTCAGATCCTGAGTTTTCCTCTGATCAACAACGCGGTCAAGAAATTGGGAAGCTATCGAAGCCTCTTGATCTATTCTCTGGTTTTCATCCTGCTCTTCGTTTCGGCTCTCTTGATCTTCCCGTTTCTGCCACCTCCGGAACACCGACAACATTCCCTGCATCTCGTCTGCGGCACGAAAATAAAACCCTGGATCATCGTGGATAAGTGCGGGGAAGAGAGAACTTGTAGTCCCGTGCAGGGAAACGACATCATCAATTTACAGTTTACGGCCTGCAGCGTCCAGTGTCCGAACCACGGAGCCGATCTGCAAGAACCCGTCAACGTTGCCGATTTATGTTTCGACGACGAAGTGGGCCGGGTCTGTCACGTGGTAGAGGTTAATAACACTCTGTCCGAAAATTTCACCTTCGGACTCTATCTGAATTCTCCCGAAGACAGGAGTACGGATTGCTATTATCCGGTGGATGCGGTGACTTGGCATCAACTGGTGTTTCATCACATGTCTTGTCCCATCATAATTCCTCATTTAAACAAGGGAAATTGTTCCTTAAAGTGTCGATTCCAAGAAGTCAACGACGTAACCTCTACGTTATCCTTCGACAACGAAGAATGCGTTTACGTCGGATACAAGAGGTGGTTATTTTTTAGTCTGTATTTGGTTCTTCGCTGTTTTATACACTTGCTGGTGGCCGTAATTCTTCTCCTCTTGGAAAACAGCTTAAACGTCGCCACCGAATTTGCCGACGGGAGATACACCATGCTAAACGTGTATAACTCGTTAGCCACCGCAGTGTTTCCTCCTTTGGTGGGACTGGTGGTGGATATCAACCATTCGGATTACAGTTACGCCGTCTACGTATTCAACATTCTCGTAACCGTCGTTATCGTATCGGTGGTGGTTCTCGACGTTCAACTTTACCCGCTTCCCAGAAATGGGATCGACGATTTAAAACAACTTTCGTGTCACGCCGAATACGTCATGCTGGTAATAATCATGTTTTGGATCGGCACGATGTGGGGATACCTGGAAACCTTCCTCTTTTGGTATTTGCTAGACTTTAACACGCCGAAGTATATACTCGGTTTGACGATAACCGCGGGATCTTTAAGCGGGATACCTTTATTAAAGAAATATCGTCCGATCGCAAAAAAGTTCGGATGCGCCAACATCTTGTGTCTGTCGCTCTTCATGTACTGCGGAAGATACATATGCTACTCTTTGATCACCGACGGATGGTGGAGCGTGCTTTTGGCGGTGACGGATTTGCTCACCTACCACTTGATGTCGGTGGCATCTAGTTTATATTGTTCCTACGTAATTCCCAGAAACCTCATCGGATCCGGCGGATCTCTGTTGAAAGTGGTCCATTATTCCATCGGTAAGTTTTAATATTTAAGTGTTTCCATACTATATCCATTCGATAATACGGGGGCGTACGGGAGCACAAATAAATAGATTATGGCGTTTACTTTTATATGCGCCTATTACATATGGCGTTTTTCGTAGTATGCGCCCGAGTTTGGCGCCAATCACCTATTTACACTAAAATTCTCCTCCAATGGAGATTAAAAATTTGGACCATCTGACGGGATGTAAAGATGAATTTTTGGTTAGTCAACTATTTAGTCATAACAGAGATAAAGATCTCTCTCGGGAATTAACTTTAAACAAAAATGAGAAACCCTAGTAAAAATCTTTCGATTTTATGCTGTTCGTGTATGTAGACCTATCTGTGTTTGGGAATTTCCCGACTACGTGACGTGTGTTTAGTACGGCATCCTTCCGTACTAAACACGCTTCACGTAGTCCGTAGTGCGATGTATGTAGGCCTACCGTGGTGACTCGTGAAGCCTAATGTTTCTAGACTTTTACGCAAAGTATGCGGTATTAAGCCCGTGCAACGAACGAGTCTACATACATTAAGTACGTACCTTATCCATTCTTTACGGACGCTTTATTTTGTGGATTTCTGAACTAGAGTTTCATTCTAGGTATTTCGTATATTATGGATATTTAGTACAGTTATGTGTATGATATACTGTACGTGATTTTATTTTGCTTGTCGATGAATGTGGTCGGTCGGTTAGATTTTTGGCGCGAGCTTCCTGGGCCAAACTGCGCCAGTCTAGTAGTAAAAGATGTATAACCAAAGCCATAAACGTTTAAAACGTATACAATACATTCGATATAAAAAAGAAACGATTAGAAAGTACAGGTATACCTCGCCTTACGTCGGTAATTGGTTCCAGGAAAACGACTTAAGTCGAAAAACGACGTAAGTCGAATTTACTTGTCTTCGAATCTACTTGTCACAAGGAAAAACCATAAATTACTATTCCCAGTTCTGTATTTTATTTATTAATGCATTTTTAATAATATATGGTTAATAAGAATCTATTTTAAGCTTACAAACAAAAAAATTTTAATTTTTAATATAGTACAGAGAAAAGTAATCTAAATTTACGAATGCATGTACTGTACTGTAAATACAGTACATACTTGTAAATGTATATATTTTAATATGATTTTATGTGCTTTAAACGCTTTACTAGTGATGTTACGGCTTCAATATTTGTGGCGGACAGACGTAAAGTCGAATAAAATGACTTAAACTTGATTTTTATTTTTCCGTATACTTTTTTGACAAACGACGTATAATCGGGAACGACGTAACTCGAAACGACGTAAGTCGAGGTATACCCGTATTAAAGCTAACTGAAAGTTAATGGAATACAAGTAAAAATGTAACGCGGGTAAGTGCAAAATGGTAGGTTATAGATCTCAGCGCGAATACGCGTAGGCTAATGGATTAAAATAGCATAAACAGTCCGATCGTATATATAAAAAAAATGTTTCTGCTAAAATTTTTCTCGGAAAGGTTCTGGAGGGTAAATGTTGTCAGTGAATTAATACCTGGTCTGTTGCGACGGATTGTTTTGTGATAATAGTTTTCGTACGGCATATTCAGAGTCGCAGCAATGTATTTGGCACCCTTGGCAATGCATTAGTGTTTTAGTTCACGGCGCATAACCGTTTGTCTCTCGCCCTTGGCACTCGCCCGTTGCCAACGCGTCGCTACGACTCTGGCCGTAGTATTTTGTTCGTGTTGTTTTCTACTTCAGTCTGAGGTGTGTATTTTTAGCCCGGCACGGTTCCCGAGGACGTAGTAGTTTGTGTTTGCATACAAGTTTTTAATGTATTATATTAGCTATTTGGTTATATCTATGTAAGTAGTACGTTTCTGTTAAAAGCTTGCGACTCGATGTGGTGTGTAGTATACTTTCCTGCAAGTGTTATCCTTTGAAATGTGCTTTTTAAAATTTTTATGATCTGTCGTCAATGAATGTATACGGCAGTCACGAATCCTTTCGTCTCTCCGAAGAGGCATTCGCGAGTCAGTCGGTAGTTTGACGCGATTCTGGCCGATATCGCGGAGCTTCTTTTCAACCGAAAACTGCTTTATGATGTCTGTATCTTTCGTACTGCGTTATATCCGGGATTTAATCGAAATTTCGACAGGATCAAATGTCGATATCGTCGAAAGCCGTCATTGTTCTTACATAGTTTTGCAGACGTCCAAAGACTTTCCGTTGGCAGTTTTGTGTAATTTAAGCGAAAAATAGCATAAAAGAAATTTAACTCGACAAATATTTAATGGTCGACGTAATGGTTCGCTCTCCGTCCCGAACAAAGTTTGCATTATAATAATTGATTATATAGTATTACGTATTAATGTATTACTACTAATATATTATTGTGTGTCTGGTAAGAATCGTGTATAGCTCTAGCCACCGTTTTTTATTGGCCAAATAGGCGTTTCTACGTCAACCATGTTCGAATCCTATTCTTAGAACAATTTTTAAGAACAATTAATACTTAAAATTTTGATGGTGAATCGATTACCATTCTGTTTGTAATAATTTTGAGTTTAAAATGGCTTACATTCAAGAAAATAAATTATTATTCAAATAAATATTCGATGTTATGTTCCGAAGCATGGCCCAATTTAAAATTGAGGAGGCGCATTTCATCTCCCGTCATTTCTGACCACGTTGCGACTAGTAAATAAAATAGAACGATAACCGTAAAAACAGGTCTTTGTGACAAGTATAAAAATTAATTTTGTAATATGAAATTATTGTAATATCAGTAGATAATGAAATAAAATAACATTAAGAGAATACAGATGCTATGTGTTTTTTCACCCGCAGCCTGGAAGATTTCTAGTTCGTTTTCGACACTCGTTGTAGTACTTCTTTCGCTCTCCAGTATTCTCGATTTGTCTACCTCGGCTGCTTTAATAGAAACATCGAGTTTATAGCCCGATAATTCGGCAGTTCGTTTGTCTTTAATAATCGGGTTTACGAATAAAAACTTCGTACTCGTTTGTATCCTGGTCCAACTTGTACAACCCGGCGTAATGCAGTTATTAAAGCTACTGGACGTGGTTAAAAATTAAGACGGCATCGGCTCGTTATTCGAGATATTACAAGTTCCGACAAGTAAAAAATTTTCAGACCCGTTATAAATAGTCTACGTATTGATTATTAACAATCTGTGCCATAACGATCAAAAATTTAAAGAACTAATAAATATTAATTAATAAATAAATACAAAGCTTAAAATACGGGTTTAAATTAATAAATACAAAGGTATTTTCACAGTTTATGGATTAATTTCACTTTCTATTTGCAAAATTTCCTCAACCTTAACAGAAAATAAGAAAAAAGTGATCTTATAAAAAATTTGCGAAATTTCAGATCGGTCAAAAAATGGCCCCGAACATTTTTACATTTTAGGACTCGGGGAACATCGAAACGTCGAGATACGAAAATATTCGGAGGTAATTTATGTATGTATGGACGTTAGTGTTCGTGTGGGGACACGATTTTGTTCACTATCTTTGAAGCTTAATAGCCGTTGCGCTTTTCGTCAAACATTTCTGAAATTTTACTAGGAGGTTTGTTTATTAGGGGGATCGATGTTGTTAAATTTTGGTGATTAAAGGTTGAGGAGTAGGAAGATAAAGGGGTTCGCGTATATCTCCCGTAGGGTCGGACTTAATGTCGATTTTACTCGTTACTAGCGCATACAAATTTTTATAAAACCCATTCCTACCCTGGAAGTTAAGGTTTTTTTCCATTCTATCAATATAATAGTTAAAAATATAAAATGCTTTCTTAATGACATATCATAACAGATGGCGCCACTAAATGTCGCCGGGAAAATTAAGCGACTGTTGCCAGATTTTTTCCGTAGTTACGCTTCGACTTTGATCCGACACAGTATACGTGCCACGGAGCGTAAATTCCACTAACACCATAATGATATTAATACGAAAAATTTAGTAAATTTAAAATTAAGACAATTTTTATTTTGATGCGTGCATTTCTGCGCTTTTTAATAATTTTAGACGTCAATATATAAATGAAAAATATTAAACTATCGATTCCGAAATATTAAACCGCTACTTCGTAAAATAACAAAGCTGGGAAGCGGTAAAGGTTGGGGGTCCGGTCTGAGTCACTTAACCGAGTTCAAAAGAAACATAACGCAAATCCCTAAGTACCGTTACGATTTTCGAAACCTACGAAGTAGTGTTTCTCAAACGGGATTCCGAGATCCCGGTTGTTTTTTAACCCGGTAAATCCCGCAAATTTCTTAAAAATTCACTTTTTTTCTTATTTTGTGTTAAGGTTAAGAAATTTTGCAAATAGAAAGCATAATTATCTCATTCACTGTCAGAATACATTTGTATTTATTAATTTTAAACCTACTTATTAGTTTTTTTTTATTTTTGCTCGTTATGGCATGTCACAAATGGTCGATAATCAATACGTAGCTTATTTGTGGCAGGACTATAAAAATTCTTTACTTGTCGGAACCTGTAATATCTGGAATAATTGTGCTTACGCTGTCTTTAATTTTTAACCATGCCCAGTAGCTTCAATAAATGAGTAACGCCAGATTGTGCAAATTGGGCAAAGATACAAACGAGTATAAAGTCTGCAAGTATGAAGTTTTTCTTCATAAACCTGATTATTAAAGCCAAACGAATTGCCGAATTATCGTGCTATAAGCTCGATGCCGCTATTAAAGCAGCCGAGGTAGACAAATCAAAAATACTAGAGAGCGAAAGAAGTACTACAATCTCGAAAACAAACTCGAAATCTTCCAGGCTACGGGTGAAAAAACACATAATATCTGTCTTCTCTTAAATGCATTAAATACGATTCCAATCACACCAATTGAATCGGAAAGGGCATTCTCGGTAGCGAGACTTTTCGTTACTAAAATAAGAATTAGAGTGAGTGATCGGAGTATTGATCATCTTTGCTTTTTAAAATCTTATAAAAGTTTACAATATTTTGTATTATATTTTATTTAAAAAACAAAAATTACCTTCTAAACTATAAGTTTGATCTAAGTTCAATTTTTAATTTTTACTCAATTCAAAGCATTTTTGTTGTTGTTGTTGTTGTATGCAGTTTCTAGCAAACTTTAATAAATTTTTTTCTATTGGTGAAAATTTCTACGTAATTAAAAGGTAATTTTTATTATATATCTTACACAATATCTTACACAGCATTATTAATATGATTTTGGATGATACAGAACTTTAAAATTATTTTTAAAAATGAAAAATAATTGTATCATTTAATTTCAAGTATACCTTAAAAATAATTGATTCTATCCCTGGATTTCCCGGGATCCCGGGAAACAGTTCACTTTTATCCCGGAATCCCGGGACAAGCAAAAGACCGGGAAATGAGAAACCCTACTACGAAGGTTTAAGAAGGATAAAATATTTTACAAATTGTTTTGTACGGATGTAAATCGTTTGCCGGCCGCTTTCTACCGAAATCTACTTAATTAAGTTATATTTTTGTATTAAAATCAAATTATTTTCCATTTTTCATCTAATTCCGTATATGATATAAGAACGATGTAACTTATTATTACTAATCGCCTTTTACTATTTTTTATAATTTGCTAAGTCGAAAAAGGCAAATTTTGAAACGATTTGTGTTTGGACCAGGGAGAGGAACCGCAGCCATCGTGGGAGGAGGCATCATGGGCACGTTCGGCGCGCCGGTCACGTTTAGAGTATTGGGAGCCAGTTGCGGAATACTCGGACTTCTGTATCTACTGGCTGTCTACCTCTTAACTTGTAAAAGATCTCTAGAAAATAATTCGGAAAACGATTCGAAAATAGGTACGTATAATTGGCTTATAAGACTCGAAACTGCCAGTTTTTTCTCGAATTTAAAAACGTAAAAGTTCGAAGGTAATATCCGTCTAAGTAGAATTTGATTTTTGTCAAAACAGAAGCAGAGATATGGGAGATAAGAGAAGAAAGAATAAACGGCGCCGCTACCCGCGACACAAACTCCGAATCCGACAAGAACGAAGAGACGAGCTCCAACCTACTGCGCGAAATCTCGGACGATCGCTCTCGAGAAGAGCTAGAAGAATCGGCGGCGTTACGGAGATCGGACCGAGGTATTTTCGGTCGATCCGGCGACAGCGTCAAAAAAGAGAAACCCCTCGTCGCCGTTCACCGCCAAAATACTTCGTAAACGGAGTTAAAACGCTCGGCGCCCAACACCGGTTTCTAAACGCTCCATTTCTCGAACGTTCCGACAATTTAAAAACGGGACGGGACAATATCCGTCGCGTCGTCTGTAAATATTGTTGTACGTATTTTGTAATTTAATAAAGTTGTCGGTCGGCATCTTAATATATGTACAAACGAGAAATAAAATCGGCTCGAACCGTTTATTTTCGTAGAAATCTGTTGATCATTAAAAACCGTTTCGTTTCCGTTAGCGGAGATGTTCACTTGGGATAATTCTGGCGTAAGACTTCTAAAAGAACTCTTGGGACGTCGAGTCTCTGAAAGTTCATATCTGAGTGAAACGATGGGCCTCGTGTAAGAAAAAAGAAAAATGAAATTTTCCTAGCTCAATGAGAGATTTTTACTTTTCTATAATGAATGTCGTAGTTTATAAAACACTAGCAGACGAGCCCGGCGTTGCTCGAGCAAAAAGTAACCACCAAAATTAAGATTATTAGATTATTTTCTACTTCTAACCTTTCTATATTTTATTATATTGTACTATTTAATTTATATAACTACAAAGGTTATCTTACCTAAGGGATTTTTAAAATATGTTGGATCGATCACACCGAGTGACGATCCAACATATTTTAAAAATTCTTTAAATTGTGTACAGCGGAGGAATAACGAATGTTTAAATTGTTTTAGACTGGTTACTCCGGTGATAAACCTTACGTAAGATAATCTTTGTGGTTATATAAATCAAATACAGTAATATAATATAACAAACATTAAAACGTAAACCGTATAAAGAGTTTGGCAGTGGCGTACCGTGACATTCGATGATAGGGAAGTTGCGTTTCTGTAAGAAGCCGACTTCCGGGGGCAATCAGTTAATTCTTTAAATGTAATTTTAATAGATTATCTATCTGACGTAATTAATAAATAAACAAGTTCAATATAATTACAGTAGAGCGTCGGTTATCCGAAACGTCGGTTATCCGAAAGCATTCCAGTCGGCAAATTTAAATTTTCGGTAGTGCTGTGGCGCTGCAATTTTGGGCTACTCCAATATTTTTTGGTTGGTGTGTGTGTTTTAGCTGGCAGCACTGGCACTATTGTGCGATGTTTTCTTGAGGACTGTGTGTGGTGTTGAATCGAACGTTTTTGATAGTAGATCAACTTCTAAAGTATATTTTTTTGGTTTTTATATTTTTCAATATATTTATTTTATTTGTACAAAACAAAAAAATAATTTTTAACGATACAATAATCACGATTATTATTTTAAAAAGTTTTCGTTAGGCTTGACATCGACGAAAATTCAACGCGAAGCGACACGCAACGGAGAAAAATTTCAACACGGGATAGGTTAATATATTTTTTCGTACATAATCGGTTACCGAAAAATAAGTTATCCGAACAACTCCAGTCCACAATTGATTCGGATAAACGTCTTTATCTTATAAATTCCGATGTCGTCCGTCTGTGTTTGTCTGTATGCTCTTTCTTAATGTTGAGAAAGAGATTAGATTGACGAAAGTCCAGAACAGATGTAGAAAGCTTAGGAGCGGGAGGCCAGATTAACTATATAGGAACTTCTGGTTTGGAACGGAAGTAACGTTACTTGGATTCAAAATTTTCCTTTCAACGGAGTTAGATAGCAATAGAGTCGTGTCGACAGATGAAATAGAAAAAGTATGACATAAAGGAGCAAGATCACCATTAATTAAAAGAGTTGAGAACATTATCAAGGGTGTACCCAGCGAGGGCAGGAAATTTTTTCTAGGGGCAGCTGCCCCTCCCTAGAAAAAAAAAATTAGTGTAGTAATTGACACACAGAGCAGACGTATCAATTTAGTATGAGTTTGAATAATGAATATTGTGACTAGACTAGAGCCATTTGTGGTGAAATCTCACACTCCCGCCCCACTTCCTCGAAACTAATAGGAGTTGCCCCCCTCTAGTTTAGATCCTGCTGAACATTGTAACGAGAGGTTGCAGCCCGTCTTTGTCAGGATGTCACAGTAAATAATCGCTCGTTAGAATTGGTTTGGATAATATAGTTACAGCAACGCGACAGGTAAGCGATCTGCAGAGGAGATGCAGATCGCTTGGCGCAGTTGGCGCAGTTTAATCCAAGAGGCCTTTGCGCCATTTAAATCTAACTAACCAGCCGATCGGGTATACCTGACAGGCGCGTCTGCTCGGCTATACCTGCCAAGTATACCGGTACGTGTGTACCTGGCAGTTAACGCTTAAGGAATGTGGGGAAAGAGTACGTGGTTTTTATATTTTGCATTAATGCACTCACAATTATCCGTATTTTAAAACTCTAACTATAAAACAATACCACATACCTTTAGCTTTTATGGATGTTTTATTTATGTAATTAGTATATAAGACATACACAAAAATAGTGTTTATCATAACCCATTTTTATGCGTACTCCTGCCCCAATAGTGGGGTAACAGTGCGCAATACATCTTACATTTTTATATTTACAAAGATCATAAACAAATTCTCCTGATCCGTCATAGCCAGCGCATTCTTTATGCACACCATTCTTTACACTTTATCCATTCTTCTGGTGGCGGTTCTCCATATTTTTCATTGCAGATGTAACTTTGTTAACACAATTTTCGCCTTTTACAGAGATTACTTTTGATAATTTTCTGGGACTGCGATGATCCATGTTAAACATTTTTGTGGAGCCAAATTTTATGTTATCGTATAGTTCTTGTAGCATAATGTAAAATATTTCTTGAACAACACTTGTGATTTCGGGTTGGCGAAGGGATAAAGATGATACATTAAATTTCTCTGTATTTTTAAGAAAACAACAAGCCTAGTCTTTTCCGGCTAAATGAAGCTCGTGTTTGAATGAATGCTTCAATTTCTCCTTTTCTGCCTGCTGGTAAGCTAGTGACCGAATGTCCATTTTGTATTAGGCCCGAGCGACACTGGAGTTCACGTGTTAAAAATTTAATAAAAGTGTTAAATCGAGGGATCGAGCTTTGATTCTAACGCTGGAAAAAACTGGAAGAAAAACCTAAATAAAATCGGAAAGAATAAAATTATTAGTCGAGAGGGAAAAAAAGCTTTTAAAATGACTTAAAAGGAGATCTAGCGCGGAGATTACAAGAATTCGAAAGAATAGTTAAATACGAGCAAGAGTTTCTAGGTGCAATTAACTTCCTTTGATCAAATAAAACGCGGTGTCGAATTTGACCCTTCGTAGTCCAAAATGGTCTGTTATCTACTTGGATACAAGAAACCGACCAATCGGAAAGCTACAGATCCGAGGAAAGAATCCTTTAAAAGCCTGGATCTGTAGGACAAAAGCGGACTTTCCTCTGTCTCACGTTGTGAGTTATCAGACTAGTCTTCATTGCTCTGCGTACGGTCTCTTCGTCCCTAACTTCACCATTCCGCCTTGGACTGATTTGGTTTTCGACACTTTGTCACTCGACTTCCGTACACTCATAGAAGCATCTCGTCCGACCCTTCCGGACCATCACTCTACAGACCATCTCCAACAGTTGACGAGAGGGCACTATAGAACGGAAGATTTAGCGTAAATGAACGAGCTTATTTATAACTGCTTCCATTCACCCCACATTCGATAAATTTTGACATTTGTTCATCCGCAATTCGGCAACTTCACAATTGTAAGGCATTTTGTCCGTTGTGTGAAGTATCGAAAAAGCTCTTTGAGTCGCTCTTAGTTAAAATTTGCTTTAAATATCAAGAGATGTTGAAATACAATTAAGATCCCGTAATTAATAACAAATAAGCAAACAAGATTCATATTTCCTTGTAAGGCATAGTGTATTTCCATTTAAATTGAATTCGCTAATCTGAATTAAATGAGATAGTTTAACTAGCTCGGTTACTTAAACCTAATTCTCCTTTATTAATATTACTAAACAGTAATTTGTGGGGCAAGAGTACCTCGCCCAACACCGAGAGGTTTCGTACTACTTTGGATAAGTTAATAGCATCGCGTTTGCGGCGGTAAACGAGTGGCATTAGTAACAATCGGAAGAACGAAATACCGTACGCTTAAACAATTGTCTTATTTACATACATATTTGAGGCAGAATCCCGAATTCAAAACATAGGAAAATAAGATCAGGGCGTAGAAAAAACAATTACGCCAAATTACGAAGAGCCTTAATCTGGGCGACAGTAAAAACGCGCTCGATAGTCGTCCACCATCGGTTTTATCAAGCGATATTAAACGTTTATTGTTGCCAACAAGACATAAAACGTGACAAAACACGCAATTCGTACTCTCGTTCCGCATTCCCTTACCCTTCGCGCCACAACGTAGTCTTCCTCGTCCGGCCGAGTTTCGTAAAACCACCGTACGGAAGAACGAACTGTTGGAAAATCGAAGCCGTAAGCGAGCCTCGGAGTAGGACGAAATAACGTCCGTATATTTCGTAGAACCCGAGTTTAGCGGAAAGGCCGCCTTCTTCGAACGGCATCAAAAACTTGTCGCATATTCCGCCAGTTTTTAAAACGTTTGATGCAGAGAATATCCGGATCAACCACGAAAATACAATTTTACAATAAATATTTCAAAGAAGTATAAAAACATTCGTAATTGACGAAATAAGAGCACACCCGGCAACAGACTCGTAGGTTAATGCCAGAGTCGAAGTTTTATCCTCCTCGTAATCGTTCTTCGTTTGCGGAACTATTTCATCAATCACGCACGTTCTTTTTTTAGTTCTTTGAAATATTTATTTCAAAATTAAATGCGACCAAACCCTTTTACCATTTTTATACTGTATATAACTTAATTTTACAATTAATTTCTTATCACTACTAGACGCGCGCGCCTAGTAGTGATAACAAATTAAGCGAAGAAGAGACGACACGGTTTCGGAACATAAAAACAATTAATTTTAAAAGATCCGCGACGAAAAAAATCGAGGAAACCACGGTATCGAGAAGCGCCATTTTTAATTAAGAAACGTGTGAAAGTGCGCGCCTTCCGCTTAATGGAGATTAAGGCAAAATATAAATTCCATTAACGAGTCGCTTTACTTTTCCAATAACATCTGTTAAGTTTTTAAAATAAGATTTTTAATTATTATAAAATGGCAAAAGCTTAATTTTCGGGCTAGGGACGAGTTTTAAAAATTTGTAAATTCTAATAACGAGTAAAATCGTCATTAAGTCAGATCTTTGGCGTAGATACGCGAGACCCTCTTTATCTCCCCCGCCCCTCGACCTTTAATGGGCAAAACTGAATACAGTAGCATCGATCCCCTTAAACCTCTCGGCAGAATTTCAGAAATTTTCAACTAAAAAGCTCAGGAGTTAAGCTTCAAAGAAGAAAAAAAATCGGCTCCCGCATACGCGCACAGAACCGCCCATTTTTGCAATTTACGATCTTTCGAAGTCACTAGTCAAAAAATATAATTTTTCGGGAGTCATTTTCCGATCCATTACTTTTCCGGCTGTTATAACAGCCGGAAAAGTAATAATGCGAATTCTGATCAGTTGCAACTTCTTTCTACATTCCGTCCGCTATTTTTACCCGAAAAGTTATATTTTTAAAAAGCAAAGCTGGCAAAAATTTAATTAGAGAGTTGTTTTATAACAATGAATGTAACCCAGCGTTTCGCGCTTAAAAGGGAAGTGGAATTAAGTTTAATATCCGCCGTAAGTACACTTTAAAACTCCGAATTTAGCTATTCCACTAAGAACCTTATATTTTCAAATCGAAATTTAATAAACGTAATTAGACTATAAATTTTAAACGTACGAAAACTTTTAATTTACGTAATTTAATTATGTTTGTTAGTAATTCGAAACGACTTTTTAAGCGAAATGTTTTAAGACGAGGAACTTAGTAAAATTACAAACTGAAATTTTGGCCAACGAATCAAATTTTACGGACAATTGGAGACATCTGGTGGGATTCGAATCTCCCTCCTTACGGGAGAGAAGATTATCGAAACGAAACGAGTTTCGGCGTTATATCGAGCGTCGGACCAAACATTTAGCGACCGAAAAGCCAGGTCGATTAAATGTAGTAAAGCGGCCAGGATGTTATTACGTATTAACTGGACTAAATGAGAAATTACGGGATTTCTGTTCTAGATCACTTAGTTTAATAAAAATCCATAAAAACATTTCGAACAACAAAAACAACAAATTTAAGACATTTTAGATTTCGATGAAAACGTCGCTCAAACTTAAAACGAGCAGTCTTACAAAATGACTTAAGACTGTTTACAAAATTTCGTACTGCCGGGCTGTTTTTGACCAAAGACTCGAACGCATTCTTCCACGGCTCGATTGGAGCCGACCGGCGATTCCGCGGAAGGTGAACTACTCATGCTGGGTAAGGTCACGCTTCCGGAATCTGTAAAACTAATTCTCTCTCCTCTTCCGCTTCCCTCCTTACTGGAAGCGGAGTCGACGCCGTCCACGAAATTCGAAGCTCCGTCGGGTTGTTGGCAGATGTTTCCTAAGGTGGAAAAAGTCGATCGGGGAGAGGGTTGTAGGCCGATCGTCCGACCCTCTCTCTCGAACCCGACGTCCCAGGCGCCGGTAGATCCGCGATAGGTGGCCACCGCCCGGTAGTCGTGATCCGGAGAAGGTTCTCGAATCGGGCGGATTAGCCACGAAATGCATCGTCGACACTTGACGCGCAGCGATAGGACTTTAGACAAGTGAGCCAGGCAGAGTACGGCGTGAAAAACGGCGAAAGCCAGCAGAAGGTTGAATTTCAGTTCGTATTCTTCTTTGTAGCTGAAATAAGTGTCCGCGGTAAAAAAGATGAGGAAAAAACACATGGAATACAGATAAAAAATCGTAGTCTTCCAACAACACTTCTTCCATTCGAATCTTCCGTTGGATTCGTCTTCCATGTTTTAATCTGTAACCATCGACGTTAATTAGCGCGGACATCTTTAGGTAAGAAACGTAAAGTTAATTAAAATAAAGCGCAAACTACTTACTTCGAAGTTCTTCGAGCTCGTTTACCGGTCCGAGGATGAAAGTAAGCGAAACGTCGACCGCCTTATAAGTTACTCCGTAATTTGCATAAAGAAGAGCCGATATTACTAAAACAAATCTTTATCGTCCAACAAACGAAAATTTTTTCTTCTTAAACTGTAGACATTATTTTTTCGTAATTCGATTTTATGTTATTACTAGAGGGGCTTTCTTTGCCTTTTCGGCCTCCGTACGTGGACCACGCTACTTCCCGCTGACTCGGCCCACTCTTTTCCGATAGACTATGGTAAGAAAAATTCCGACCGTAATAATCGCCATGGAAAAAATCGATTTTATAAACTTTTTATAAACGACATTTTAAAATTTTACTTTTGATTCGAATTGGGATAGCGGCTTTCGTCTAGATGTCGGTATAGTTACGCCGCTAACATTCGGTGGCTAAACCGCGGCCTATCTACGTACAGTACAGTACGCTACGTTTCGAGACCATCGAAACTTTCTCGGCAGTTTTTTTCGGTCTCGACCCGAAAGGTTCCCGTTGTCGTTTTCTTTCCGCTCTTTTCCATCCCGGGAGTAGACGTTTTCGCCGGTAGTTTTGATTTTCTCCGCCAAAATCGAACGTAGAACCACGTTCGGATTCCGGAACAGAAACGAAATATTAAATTCTTTCCGAGTGGTACAACGTCGGGATTTTTTCAACGTTTCGCGGAAAACCGTTCCGATTCCGCGGTTAAGAATCGACTGGGCCCACTCCTTCAAAAATCTCCCCACGATTCGTCGATTTCCGAAGTCGCCTCTCCTATTATTATTTTTTCGTCGCGATTTTAAACCGTTTTACGTAGACGGAATAGATTTTAAAATCGTAAGAATTTCAAAACTCTGTATCTTCGGGACGTCATACAAAAAATAAAATATACGCGAGAAAGAATTGAAGCGTGTTAATTGCCACGGTTTTTGTCCCGAAAGCGGTCTTCTGGTGGGAGCGGGTTTGTGCGCGGGATTTATAAATGAATAGCTATAAAAGATCATTTTATATTTTCATAGAGTACTTTATTAAATTAAAAAACTTCGTACACGAATACTGGAACGCGTATAAATTAACACTCAAAAAACCTGAACCGTCCAGTACTAAATATTTGATAAATTTTTGAAAATAATTTAGTAATTTTGTTCTTCGAATTCGCTTGTTCGAATGTCACTGGTTTTTTTGAACACGAAGAAGACCGAAAGTACCGTCGAAAACGTTTGTTTTCTATTAAATATTCAGTACTAGACGGTTAAGGTTTTTTGAATGTTAATGTACAGTACTTTATTAATGTTTACGATTAGGTTTAGGATTATTATTTTTATTTATTTTTCAATTCCTCGCAAACGAGAGGGATAAACCAAAGTTCCTCGGTGTGTACCACTCGGCATCCGACTGTAAATCGAAAATTTCAAATGCGGAGAAATATTGTTATGTGCTGTTTCGAATTAATTAAAGATGCGTAACGAACTCGAATAGTTTGAAAATACAATTCGTAATTTCGTTTGCTAATTTTTTTTTAATTATCTAAAAGAATTTCTTAGAAAACGGACATTTCTATAAATTTACATATGAAAAGGATATAGCGAAATGGTAAGACACCAACCGAATGCCGTAAATTAATCGGGCTATTTTAATGCTAAATTCTAAATAAATTACGTAATTAATTTGGCACTAGAGGTAAGCGTTAGGCGCCATCTCTTATTAAAATTAATAATTATAAATATATTAATTAATTTAAATAATTTGGAACNCGGCTCGGAGGTCCGGGTAGCGTAACTGGCAACGCATCTGCACGGTAAGCAGGAGTTGTGGGTTCGAGTCCCGCTCCGGGCCGATTTTTTCTCCCAGCGGTTCCAAATTATTTAAATTAATTAATATATTTATAATTATTAATTTTAATAAGAGATGGCGCCTAACGCTTACCTCTAGTGCCAAATTAATTACGTAATTTATTTAGAATTTAGCATTAAAATAGCCCGATTAATTTACGGCATTCGGTTGGTGTCTTACTATATTGGATATCGGGTTTGGAGATGTTTATTTATATATAGCGAAATGGCCTTTATAGACGAATACAGTCTATAAAGGTCATTTCGCACTAAAATTTTACGCGTATGGCGAAAGACGAACTTCTAGAATTTAAATATATTGGCATGGCTTAACGAGCCGTATCTTCTAAATAACGCGTTCGATCTAGGCAGGGGCGGATCTAGGTTTTTCGGGACCTAGGGCTTATTGAAGGCCAATGGGGCCCCATTTTTTTATTAATATAAATAATACTATAAATTATCATTATTCTTATATTATTAATATTGACTATTTTTTACTATACGTAAGTGCTGATTGTTAATAAAAATACAGTGAAAACTGCTTAGGCGACCACCTGCATTCGACGGGCACCTGCCAAAACGGGCAAAAATTTCAGGCACGGAATAGTTTATCCATAGAGTCTTCGTATAAGTTACCTGTATTAAACGACCACCTGTGTAACGCGACCGCGGGCACCGATTTTTGGTCCGAAACAACATACAACACCTGTAATAAGCGACCACTTTCGCGAATGTATCTGGTCTAAACTATTGTAAGAACCCATCTCAACAACATTTCCACCTCCTAATATAATGAATTAGTCCAAACTCTCGTTCGAACCCATCCCGGGCACTTCTCCCACCCTCAAAATTAGGTGCAGGTGTTAATAAATTAGTCTAGCAACAAAGGAAATTCATTTCAGTTTGTTGGAAAATGTCCGAAATGCAAAGTGCTATCGTTAGAAGATCGTATTAAAGTTATCACAACAGCAATTAGCGGCGAAGTTTAACTA